AAAAAAAAAAAAAAAAAACAAATTATGAGCTCTTGTGACTGTGTTCCAACAAAAACAAACATGAGACTCAGACTCAGAAGACTTTTTTTTACTTTTTTTATTCCTTAGTAGATGACATAGAATTAACACAAATCTTTGAGTTTTTGTTTTCTTATCTTTTAAGAATTCTCCACCACTATTTTATATGGCTTGTGAAATAAATGTTTTTAAGTAAATATCTTCCTGTGTCATATTCCAATGCCCTGTACAAGACAACGGCCTCATCTGGGAATAATGGGGCACTCAAGTAAGTATAAAATATCATTTTCAACTTTGGTGAACCTACTGTTTCCTTTGGGATGATAGAACACTTGCATATATATACATAACATGGCAAGCTAAATTTGCATATGAAATTTTTACTGCACTGCTTCCGTTATAGAAACTGAAAGGAATAATTAAAAAAGACAAAGATTAGAATAAGCTAGGATACACAGAGATTTCATGCCATGTTTCTTTTAGCTGTATCATGAGGAGCAGCAGTAACACATTCATTCTAAAAATTCAGTAATTTAAAGAGCACTGTATTTGCTCATCTCTCATAGCAATCCAGGGTAGCTTTTGGGACAGCTGAGTAACTCTTTTCCATGATCACAAAAGCACTCAGACTAGCAGTCGCCTTGCCTGTTTGCATACGTCCCTCAGAGCACCCAGGCAAGGAAAAGATGGAAAAGCATATAGAAGAGCCTGAGTTCATTCCTGGATCTGCACACATCCTCTCCTCTCACAGCTCCATTGACTGCAGCTCAGCAACGAGACCACAGCTCACTATGTCAGCGGCAGTGGGGTGCAGTCCAGTTGGCCAGCCATATTTTCCACAACACTGAGAGAAGTAGAACATGTTCTGGCAGACAGCTGAAGTCTTTATCACAGAAACAAAACATCAATGACTTCAAGGAATAAAGATGAAGAATGGTTTTACCCAGACAAGAAAAGAACAATCAGGCTGTTAGCCTTATCAGTTTCCAATTATTTAGCTGATAAATAAAACCTATTACAGATCAATTTTAAAATTGTTTCTAGCTTTTAAGTTTCTTTGGTTCTGGGAGCCTATATTCAATGGGTATCGTGTTCAGCTGGAACAAGGTGTTCATACTGAACATAGTGCAAGATAACTCGTACTCAAATGAGTAGACTGGATCTCAAATAAATCAATGTATTCCACTAGAGATGGATAAGGTCAAGTAACAGATATTGATCAAATCAAGTACCTACTTGTGGGGGTTAATTTTATCTGTCTAGTTGACTGGGCCAAGACATATTCCACTAGTAAAACATTATTTTGGGTTATATCTGTGAGGGCTTTCAAGTAGAGTTTAGCATTGAAATCAGTAGACCAAGTAAAAATCCAACATTATCTCTGGTGGACATCATTCAATCCACTGGGCCACTGGACAGAATACAAAGGTGGAGGACAAAGTTCCAGACCTCAATATGTAGAAGGAGATTGAGGCGACAGCCTTGAAAATCTTCTATAGGACTTCTGAAGAAAAAAAACCCTCTTAACTGGAGGCTATTTTCCTGTGATTTATCTTGTACAATTGGCGATATTAAATTAACATTCATGAAAATTCTGATCTATTGACTTTGGGCTAGCTATAGTTTTACTGCAAGTAAAAATAAATTTATTCTATTTTGTAGAGTAGATAATTAATGTGATATTCTTTATGATGTAACATAAAACCATTAGGGAATTGGGATATTCCATACAACTTACATATTTTGATGAAAATATATTCTCAGGTGCTACATAACCACCTGAAAACTCTGGTAAATATAATATTCAACTACTCTTAATTCTTAACCAGCCATATCCTTACTGTATTCCAAAACTCTTATATTTGGAGATGAATGGCTGTACCATGATGTTTTTGCTACAGTATATGTAGTTTTTAACAACACTGTGTTCATAAAGAAATTACAGTCTTGGACATTTTAGAGAGAGAATATTTCAAAGTAGTTTCATGTCCAGTTTAGGTTTCTGGGTCATGTCTTAGTATAAACTCGCTGTAAATCTTTTTGTCACCCTGAGTGCTGCTTCAACTTCCCTTTCTTTTGTAATAGAGGACCTGTACCAGTCAGGTGGAAATGTATGTCAGCTGGGTTTTCCATTTGCAAATAGGCATATTCTTTACCCCCATGGGAACTTGGGTATAACTGTCTTTTATATAAAGTGGGATCAAAATGACAGTGCAGGGTACACCATTTGAAATATTACTCTTCTCTACATTAATATTGGTGTAATTTACTTCTTTTCTTAGCTATTAAGTTGCATTGGTTGAATTTTAAATTTAAAAAAATTCTGTTTCTTATTTTTGAACAATTTGTGATTGGGTGGAAAATTACCTTTCATGAATGTCTTCTTCCTCATTTGCAATCTTAAGAGGCAAAAATGGTTCTTTAGAAATGTGTGCATTTACATATTTAAATGGCGTCTGATTTATATTGTGCCAAGTACCATCACTGACAATTATATACACTTTGAAATGAAATTATGACTTAGAAATATATGTGGCATATGTTCTACTCCACTTTAAAATACGCCTGTGAAAAACTTAAAAAGAAAAAAAATCATCACAATTCTTGCTGAAAACTAAAGATTATATAAATCGATTTATAGGGCTTTTTCCTTCTGCACAGAATAATGTTTGTAAGTGTCAAATTTTGAACATCAGAAAATTTTAAGTATCATTTCATGTTATAGCAATAACAAGGATAATAATAGCTTCTCACATTTATAAAGTTCTTACTAGATGTCAGGCTATGTAAAATATGCTTTCTGTGAATTACTCTTTTACTCTACCTAATCATTTCCATAGCCAAGCTGTCCTGTTTAATATGTACATAGGGAAATATACATGATGAATTGATGTCACTCACACAGAGAATAAATCCCTTGAAAGAAACAAGAACCAAAGGGGCCGGAGACGTAGCTCAGTGGCACAGTGCCTGGCAAGCACAAGGTACTGAGTTTGATTCTCAGTACCAAAGAAAGAAACCAAAAACAGAGCATCCCTTAAAAATAACCACTCTGAAATCATGGGACAGATCTAGCAAATTCTTTTATTTACATAGAAATGTGTACACATACTTTTTCTGTACACAGGAAAATCTAAGTGTATATACATGTATAGATCCCATACATTGTGCAATAAATAATACTCATTTCTAGATGAAAATAAAAAGATGTTTCACAATATTATTCACCAATCACAAAATTACAAAAGCACCTGATGAATTCAGAGCAAAAACTTCAAGCCTCTACTACCACATACTAAGTCTAGTACAATTTTTACAAAAGACAAAATCAAACACTGTGAAGATATCACCAGTAAAAGAAAAAGAGATGTATAATAGAGAACAGACCCGCTGGATTTCTGAACAGGGTGCTAAGAACATTTTTGTTCCTTAGGAATTATCTTTCTTCATTCCTCAGTTGAATGCTTTACTTTAATATTTTACAGAGAAGGGAAAGAGGTGAACACCTACTGTGGAAAGAGTTACCATTCCATGACTCCCGAGTCCTAGAAACCTGTCCCTGCGCAGCCAGACCCTCTGTGCTAATTCAGTGATCATTCAATTCTACCATACAGAGAAGACAAGAAGGATGATTTTAAAGTAATATTGATTTGGAAGTAATTTCAAAAGCCTAGTGAGCCAGGAATCTTGGTTATCAGAACTAAATAACTAAAATGTTTAAATATAACAGGTGTTATTCCCACCTACAGTGTGATCCCCCATCGTAATGATTACCTAAATGAAAGGAAAACTTATCTAGGAGGCAAGAATTTCTGAATCCACAATCCTACAATTTTCTCCCTCTACTTCTATCACCCCCGCCCCACATTCTAGCTTAGGAAACAATCACTTTCTCTCAATATCAGAGTTGTTCTACATATGTATATACAATGACACTATCGGATGAGTGGAACGAGGTCCTAAGCTGTGGGGTGAATACTTTTCATAATCTTACAGCACTGCATTTGGTAAAAGGGTCTAAAAACATTATGCTCTTCACTGTTGTCTGACTGACACACCCAGATTTGCTTTCTCAGTGCTCAGATGAGAATCACAAAGGCGGTGACCAACAGAGGGCTGAATGCTTAGATCACACTCCATGCAACTCCAGCTCGGATGGCAATGTGTTTGATTCCACTGTAACTTCACACATGAGTTTTGAAGCAAATTGCAACCTTGCATCTCTCATACCAATACTGGCACAGATGTGGGAAAAGACACAGCAGTAAAACAGGTTCAATGCTGGAAAAACCATCATCTATCACATACAATCTTTTCAGCTACTTGACTGAAACTGCTATTTTAAAGGTAACCTTCCAAAACATATCTCAAAGGCAGGCTTATTTCAAGAGCAATGTTTATGACATGCATAATCTGGTCCCTTCCCATCGTGTGCGGCTGCCGTTGATATTTCTTTTAAACAATAATATCTCTAGAACTTAACCATCTTACATGAACATGATGGTTTCATATAGTTTGACTTTAGATAAAGGTACCTTATGATGGAAACAAACATGTTTCACAATTGAATATGTTTTTCTTTTAGTTGGAAAACCTCAAAGGGAACTACAGTTCACTGCCAGAAACAAAAGGGATCTTTCACTATGAAAAACTAGACTTGTTTCTCGGTCATTCTAATTAGATATACAAACGTCCCCCATTTTCGTCCCTGTGGAAAGATTCAGCCGGAAGATAAGTATGGGGTCTCACTATGGTAATTGTAATCAGGACAGACCTTCTGCACAAGTTTATAATCGACACTGTAAAAGGCAATGTAAATGCAAATGACCTTGAAGGGCTTAGAGCACAACCAAGACACGTGGCTCTGAGTCTGCTCCTGGTAGCAGATCTTAGACGGGTCAAAGTTGCACAGGGCAGTCTTTTTTGCCCGATCTGTTTTTTCATACTCAATACGACAATTGAAAGATTTGGACTCCTTGGTCTCCAGGGTAGACTGGGGAGAAACTTCAAATTCCACCACTTTGGAAGGAGGTACCAAGCTCACTGAAACGTTACCCAGGCCTGTTGAATTATGTCGGAAATAAACACTGAAAGTTCCATTTCCATGGTCGACAATTTTCCCGGTAATGAGAAGGTTGAGTTTGACAGTTTTAATGTTGGAATGAAAGTCACCCCATCCAAACATTTTCTTAAATTTTCCTGTTTTTACTATAGGTCGTCGTTTAGTTCTTGTTAGTGGCTCCTGAATGTCCGTGATGTTCGCCAGCCAATCCCAAAAATTTTCCACGCTGTCTGCAAATGCCATTGGCCCGGGCTTTGGCACTGGAGACTGTTTAACAAACAGGCGCAGAGGGCTGATGATCCGCGAATGTACCACGTTTCCAACCAGTGTCCCCGGAGCATCTTTGTCCTCCCAATCCAGACCCTCTGTGGCATGTACCGCCTCTTTGCCATCACAGAATAGCTGTGGGAAAAGAAGAGAGAGAGAACCTTCAGGTTAGGGCTTGAGCCTCCATACAGACTGAGGGCAAAGCAGAAGGGAAAAATCAATATTTAGATTCTAGCTGAATAAATTCTTACGGAAAGAGCTGGGTTTAACAGTGTAGTGAGATGAGCACTTAATTCCAGCAATATAAAAGTATAAGTACAAAACTTGAAGTGGTGAGGTGAGGAAGAGGATATTTCACTGTAACAGACTGATAGGATTGTACTCTCTGCTAATCTTTACAGTTTTCTCTTCCAGACTGGGAAAAGCAAGATGTTTTGGTTCCTCTTGTGATAAAACCACTCATTTTGTGAGATCGTTTCTTTAGGTAAAAGACCAGTTTTGTTTTTTTTGTTTTTTTTTTGGTTTTTCTCCGGTACCGGGAACCGAACTCACGACCTTGCGCTTGCCAGGCAGGCGCTTTTGCCGCTGAGCTAAATCCCCAGCCCCAAAAGACCAGTTTAAATGCTGAAAATCTCTACTAAGGACCACTATAAACTATTAGAATATAAGATATTGGTAAATCTCTTAAAATATTTGGAAATATTAGGATCTTATTACATTTAAAGGTTTAAGAAATAATTTTATAGTTTTTACACAATTCTACCTTAGGCATGTGATTAGTATTAGAAAATTCTGCAAAAGTTTTAGTTGGAAACAATAATGACATATTGAGCTGCCTTTATACAAACAGGAATCAATGTGAAAAAGTATAACTGAATTAATGGACTATATGATTTAAAAAGCCATAAGAATAATAAAATTGTATCCAAAATGTAGAATTACTAAGAAAGAGCTATGCCATGTGTTTTATGGATTCCACTGTATTTTGATTCAAATCATATCCCCATTCACCATTTGCATCTGATTTTCTTTTCTGTTCTGTTTGTAGTATGAGAATCCTCATGATTTCCAAAAATCACTTAGTTAGGTCAATATGGATTCTGAGGGGCAAAATCATTATATGTGAAACTGTTACTCGGAGTGAATATTTATGGATGAGCTATAAAGTCGGGAAAACAGAGGCTTCTGGTGGAAACACAGATAGCTTCTTATCTCTAATGGCACAAACCACTGTTGTAATGATTCTCTGGAAAGCTGTCAGCATGGCAGAAAGGATGACAAAGCAGGGAGGCTATGTTTATGTGCTGTTTCACCAGCTTTTTCAAATTTGGCCAACCACTCCAACACCGGTCTTGGATTATTTCAGGAATTACTGCTTTCAATCTGACTTAAAAATGGACAGAGTCTTATGTATAAATACTGTATTCATCTATGCGGTGTGGTTTGATTAAGTGAGATTTTCTTTTGTATATTCATAAAAGTAGAAGTTTAAGTTCTAACAGGAGGCCATGCAAATGCGTTCACTTAACATCTAGTCCTAAAATTGCTCTAGAGTAAAAATGCAAGGACTCAAAATGTATGGATGGTCGGGTGGTAGAGGGGTGTTATATAGTATATCCTTCCCTTTTGATTCTATGAAGCATTTTCTTCCTAATTTCTGGAGATTCAAAAAATTATTCTTTCTTCTCTAAAGTTATTGAGTCTGGCAGAAGGCCACATTGATCTGTTACATGTTCTCACTTTTATGAGAACCCAAACCCATCTCTCTTCTTCTTAGGGGCTCGCACGCCCTGAATTGATGCTTCTTTCCTTTTCCTGGTATTGTAAGGATGATATATTAAGCAGGAAAAGAAGGATCATTACTCAGGATTTCTGGCTCAAAATGTGACTGATACTGTAACTACAGCTTTCTGATTTTGGACTCTAAATTATGATGTGCACAAATCAGTTGGTAATAGCCCCTGGAATTCAGTACTCTGCCCCATTTTGACTTGAGTTTCCTAAGACTGGTACAGATGAGTCCAACTGCAAGTCGTGGCCTCTCCCCAGAGAAGGGGCCAAAACCAAATGAGCAGACAGGAGACCCCTGGCAGATTGTGGTTTGATATTTCTTCTTTGTGATCGCAATTCTTTTTGCCCAGAGTCTTTACCTACTTTTCACTTGTTTCCAATATTTCCTGAGCTTTGCCTTGCTTCAGAAATGCTGACAGATACACCTACCATTTGCTGAGCATCTGCTGTATAAGACATGCTCCTTTGCTCTCCGATCTCTACTCCTTGATTCGGTACAGCTTCCCAGCATCTCCTGCTTACCTTCCTGTCTTTCATGGAATAAATCCTTTCTGAATTTTCCCTTTTTAACACATTTTTTTAAAACCCTCAATTCTTACCTGTATCTTCCACTCTACCAATTAATACCTTATTCCAGAACTCAGATACATTTTGCGCTTAAAAATATTTTTTCAGCCACAAATAAAGTATGCTCTTCTTTTTCCTCCCTGCCTGGGACAGTTCTCTTGATTCAGTGCTATGCTCGATTTTCTGCTCGCTTTTTTGTTATTAAAAACCTATAACATAATCATGTAGTCTTAGCTGATTTTGATGCACTTTAGGATACCTAATAAACGCCAGTATCTAATAAAATAGATACTAATAAAATAGACCGCTCTTATTTCTAGGATTTATGATGGTTCTGAGCTTATTCAAAAATAATAATTAAGTGGTCTTTTATTGAAACATTTTTAATGATCTGAAGATTTTCATGGGAGTAATTATGTTATAATGGAACTTCACCCAAACATGTGTGACTCAACTCAGAAATATAAGCATTAAAAAAAGCCAACTAAGCCTATCAAATAGTCAAATTGGATGTGACTGCTTTTATGGAGGTGTTTTAAGTCTTCAGAAAAGATTCTCCAGATGACAGTCTGAAATGGAATTTGATTTCTAAAATATTTGTTCTAACATATTACTCTTCTGGCCCAAACTTGCTCAAGGAATCCTTGGTTTAAAGGTTGGTGTAGGGGCTGGGGATTTAGCTCAGCGGCAAAGCGCCTGCCTGGCAAGCGCAAGGTCGTGAGTTCGGTTCCCGGTACCGGAGAAAAACCAAAAAAAAAAAAAAAAAAAAAAAAAAAAAAAAAAAAAAAATAAAGGTTGGTGTATATATAAAAATTTTTTTAGCTAAGAGCACAGGTTTAAAATCTATCTCTCTTGTAGTGAAAATACTTACTTGCAGTTGTTTATAGATAAAAATTATATGCATTGTATATTCATATATAGGTTTTATTGTATACATATTTATACACTCAATATTTTTGCTTATCTGACCAGACATTTCTAACTTGCTTGGACAACATTAATCAAGTGGAGAGAAGCTATGCATAACTTTATCTGTTTATGACTTTAAAATACATGCACAGTTCTCACAAGTGTTGACTTCCAAATCTAAATTGAAATCATCACTTGATCTTAGCCCAAAGGCTGAGAAGCGATTATGTTAAAATATTAAAAAGCTAGTTTGGGTGATACTGCACATCAGTAATCCTAGCATTATGGGAGACTGAGGTAGGAGAATCACAAGTTCAAGCCTAGCCTGGGTAACTTAGTGAGACCTTGTCTGAAAGTTAACAAAACAAAACAGGGTTGGGGATGTAGCTCATTGCGAAAGCCCTGGTTTCAATCCTCAGCCTCCACACCAAGCTATCAGGAAATGATATACCAGTAGAAGAGTATAATTCAAAGGGTAAATACATTTCTATGTCTTTAAAATCTCTCCCATTTTTTTCTCCCTTATGTGTAATTCATTCAGACATCCTCTTGTCATAAATCATCACTTTATAGCACACTGCTAAGAAGACATCATTTCCTCTACCAGGTCAGCATAGATAGTTGTATGATGTCAAATCTCCAAGGCTCACATTTAACCTCAGAAGAACTAATCAGGGAAGATGGGGCCTGATGAGCCACAACCTGGTCCTCCTTTATCCATACTCTCCCACCTGGGAAGCAAAGTGGCATGGTAGAGAAAGCAGGCAATCTGTTGCGGATGACCTCACTCACTCCTTGCTTACGTGATTGACCTGAGCCCTAGTTTCTCATCCACGTGCCCTGTGCTGGCTAACTGTAAAGGCTCAATAAGTGCATAGATGGAGACTAGTCCTGTGGAAAGGTATTCAGTGACGATGGTTCTTCCACGGTCTAATGAAGAGACTTGTGCCTCCTACTCAAGAAGTATCTTCAAAGGGTTCTATGAATTCTCAAGCCCCCAGACAACCAGTGAATTATTAACTGAGACCTTAACTGAGACCTGAGGTCTCGTGTCATGTGATAAAATAACAACCAAGTAGAAATCAACCCTCTCAATCCTACAGCATTAGTCAAATATTTTCTTATGTTTCTAGTCTCTCTGGTGTCAGAGTCACAGCCAGATCACAGCACAGGTGAGCTCTCTGTCAACAAAATGTGTTTATAGGTCTTCCATTCCATCCGGCTCAGTGAGTCAGCAAAGGGAGCTGAGGGTACAAAGCATCTGGCAGGTGGCCTCATGCCCGAACAATTTCTGTGATACACCATGCTGGGAGATGACTATAGGTGGTTCTCAAACTGTTGGCAAACCTCTCTATCCAAAGCAAGGTTGTTAGATGTTATCTACAAACACAGGATTGTAACCCCCTGGTTACTTGCTTACTTGCTGGGGCTCTTTATGCTGATTTCAGGACCACTGATGTCTTATGTCCCATCCTATTCCACTAAGTATGCAAAAAAACATTTAATCACAAGCACAAAATGGAGTTTTAAAAAGGGGAAGAAAGAGGAATTGCTGTGTTTTATCTGTTTGAACATTCCCTGATTCCAACACATTTATCAAAGCTTAAGTAATTTATGTCTTGGCAGGGTGTATCAATTTCACAAAGCACACACATTAGCTAGATACAATGATATCATATTAGCTTTTTCTGCATCTTACAGAATAGCTCAAAGAGATTAATAAAAGCTCAAACCTTCATCAATTAAATGAAGCAGGTGGAAAGAAGCGGGTAGAGGAATAAGACTGTTTTTCATTTCATTTCCTTTGTTTTTAGGGTGAAAAAGCTGACAGGTTCAAATCATTCATCATAACAAGCTGAAGTTGAATT